GACGTGATGAACTCACATAGCCCCTCGTCTACCGGCTCGGAACCCGATCCCGAACCTGAACTGCCCACTGTTGGCCTCGATCGTAGTACCACCATTCTGCAATATAGAAAGAATAACTGTTAGTGATACTACTACTTCTTGAGGGATCACATCTACCACAAGTTCTCTGGTCTCATCTTGGCCTCCCTTGGTTCGGGTATGGATCCTCTGCTTCCAGTAGTACGGGCCCATACTACCTTCCACATCTATCCATACCTTCTTCAAGGACTGCCTCGACTCCACCAGATCCCTTTTACTATGGTTGAACACTGCTATACTCATCCTAGGCTTGCCCTAGGGAAATCTCTGACTCTACTCTATCCAGTCCTCAGCTGCTGCAGGCCTCTTGGTGATGCCAATTAACTATTACCTGAATACAATCACATGTGATGAGGCTCGGATAATCCTTCGAGTAAGGGACTCATCTCTACCACGGTTAGGAATCAAACAAGAGTTATGCAATAGAGTCAAATCCAACACTCTGAGATTATTCAACCCTGATCACATATGACTTTAACGTATTCACCTAACAATTCACTCCCATCACTTCAAAGCCCACATAGCACAAAGCAAACAACATTTGGACATAAGGAAAACAATCTCAAGCAACTCTATCCTCGTAGAGAGAACTGAACTAGCATACAATGCTAAACTCGTACTATCAGGAATAACCTAAACAGACTACCCTACTGTTGTCTACTCAATTCTAGCATGCAACTCTTTCATATACTGAAGCACATAAAGCAGACACATAAGGCATCACTCCTAGATCCTTAGTCCTATTCTAGCATGATGTACTACAGAAACTGATAAACATAAATAAACTTGTACGGGTACATTGGGGAATACTTACTTGAGCTCGGCCGGTCGCGCACATCACACACTTTGTTCTTTCTTTAAACCCCTTTACTTAGCCTTTTAGAAAACATTTTCTCTTTCCAAAATCTTTTAATCCCCTCGATTTGAGTTCAAACACCCCCGAAGGTGTGTCCGAATCCCTCAAACCAGGGCTCTGATACCAACTTGTAACGACCCAATTTTCACGTCCAAAAATTTCGTTTTTAAAACATTACTTTAGAAAACGTTAATAATTAAAAACATTGTTTGATCAAACTACATCACAACGTAAACCATGTCTAAAAGCCAAATCATACAACCAATCGAAATATCAGAGTATAAATCCCAGGGAAATCTAATAGATGCGGAAACCAGTGTGTGTGCCTGATGTGCCGCTATCGTGCCAGCTCCTTCCCTTTTGATGAAGAGGTACCTGAAACCAAAACTGTAAAATGTAAGCACAAAGCTTAGTGAGTTCCCCCATCGTACCACATACCATACAATACATAACATACATACTGCCAGGCTATTCTAGGGTGCCTGACTACCCGTACCCGTGCGGCCATTCTGGGTTGCCGTTCTACCCGTGTCAAGCCATTCTGGGGCGCTGACCTACCCATGTCGAGCTATTCTGGGGTGCTGACTACCCTTCGGTCCTAACAACCGAACCTCAGGGACTATTTCACCCCTACTACTACCATCACATATATCATAACACAAACATAATATCAGACATATCTGGGGTGTCTGACTACCCTTCGGTCCTAACAACCGAACTCTACTACTATCACATACAACATATCATGCTAGCATATAACATATCAAGTAGTAGCAAACCTAGATGATATCACAAAGACAATCATCTATCATACATCTCTTACTGGTGGGCCAGCATTGTGGCCTTAGACCCACCGCTACTTAAAGGCAACTCACCTCGGAGTAGCTGCTGATCTGATCGGGAACTGACTGTCTACTGTTGTTGCTGCTGCTCCGGAAATCCTCTGGTTGTAATTCCCACAACTTACTCAATCAAATACTGCTAACTGTCCTTTGGGTAAAAGGACCATTTTACCCCTGATCATGCCCTAAGTCAAAGTCGGAGTCAACTTTCAGTTGTCCCAACTCGCCGAGTTGGCTCGCCAACTCGCCGAGTCCCTGTCTAATCTACTGACCTAGATTCTGTTTCTACTGATCGAGTTAGGTTTGGACTCGACGAGTTCTCCATCCAAACTGATGTTCAAGTCCTTCATCCTACTCGCCGAGTTGTATGAACAACTCAGCGAGTTCATCTTCATCTGATGAACACTTATGCTGCGACTCGCCGAGTTGTATCAACAACTCGCCGAGTCTGATCTTGATCTAAGGAGATTGCCTTGAACTCGCCGAGTTCCATTATGGGTGAGTTTTGGCTTCCAGATCACCGAGTCCACCCTGGACTCACTACACAACTCGACACAGCTAAAAGGGGACAATCTCGGAGACTCGCGACTAGACTCGCCGAGTCAGATGAGCGACTCGCCGAGTCTGCTTCATGCAAGAGCCATATACGCGATTTTGCTCGAATCTAGTCCATGCCATTCATAGATCTGGGTTCCTAGAGCATGAATAACACGTAAAGTTTCCAACTTTACGTGTAAATATTCATCCATGAGGGTTTTAGGGTTCAAAATGCACCAAAAGAGTAGATCTAAGGTCTTCATGCAACATGGGTCCATAAAGGTAGTAGATCTGAGCTCCTGGAGCTCAACCATGCCTAGATCTAGAGGCCAATCAACTTATTACGAAATATAATGCACATACAAGCTTGGGGAATCACTCAAGGAAGACTTTAATGGAGTTATAAGCATAGAGACAGGGGGAAAACGAGTTTTACCTCAAAGAAATCACTGAGAGAACACTAAGATGCTTGGCTTCCTTCCCTTCCTCTTGATCTACTCCACTTCCTTCTCAAAATCTTCAAGAACACACACTAAAATGCCTCAAACTCACAAGAACAAGAGCTAGAACGTATGGAGAGCTTCTGGGGGTGAATGGGGTGGAGTTGGGGCGCAAATGGTTGTTTAAATAGGATGTAAACCCTTGGAAATTAGGGTTTCATCAGACAGCGCAAACTCGTCGAGTCCATAATATGGACTCGTCGAGTCGCCATCTTAACCACGCCCCAAAGTCTCGTCTCTACTCGGCGAGTCGGGCCTCCAACTCGCCGAGTCCACGGCCAAAAACACAAAGTACTTAGGCAAAACTCACGTACCAGGAACCAGGTGCTACAATATATATATATATATATATATATATATATATATATATATATATATATATATATATATATATATATATATATATATATTTATTTATGGAAAAGTTCAATAGATAACCATAAATATTGGTTCTTCGAGGAACCAAATCTTTTTTTTTATCAATTTCTAGAACTTATTCTTTATTGAAAATAAATCTAAAAACATGTAAATTCATATATTAACATTGTGAATATGAAAAATATTTTTCGGATTCACCGAGTGAATCCGGATTCACGTTGTGAATTTTCAAAAATTCACATTGTGAATTTGACGTAAAATAAATCGTATTTGATATCATTGGAAAAAGGATAAAAAATTATGAATTTCTATATATATATATATATATATATATATATATATATATATATATATATATATATATATATATATATATATATATATATATATATATATATTCTTCATTTTCTCAAATTATTTTGTTATTAATAGAATAAATACATTAATTACATTAATTAATCATTTAATACAAAAACACCAAAAGTTGTCATGTGAAATTAATTTTATTAAAAAAAACCCACAAAATTCCATGTGGTAAAAATCATTCTCACTTATTATGTTAGATTATTATTATAACACTACTTTATAATCCGTGAAAACTGTGGTTATAAAATTAATTAAACTTTCATAGTAAAAACTCAAAATTACTAATAAATTATTTCAAATAAATTATTTTAAATAAATTATTAGTTAAGAGATATTTTTTTAGTTATATAAAATTATAATCGTCGATTTAAATAAATACATGAAATTATATCCCCTTATAATATATATTAATTTTATTTTATTTTTTATTCTAATGTTATTAATTTAATATAATTAGAATGTCAAAATTTAGAATTTTGAATTTTGAAATGAAAAAAACAATTATTAATTTAATGGAATTAGATTGAGAAATTTAAATTTTAAATTTTAAATAGATAATTAATATGTTGACATATGACATGATAGGTAACATAATATTAATGAAAATTTCTAATATTGTGACAATTATAAACAGGATAAAAAATTTATTCATATATTAGAATAGAGAGATTATACATCACCAATCTTATTACACTTCTCATGGAATACATTCTTGAATATAATCAATAGGCAAACCCAATCGTCGCTACACCAACCTCAAACTCTTGAATATAATTAATAGGCAAACCCAAACGTCGCTACACCGTCCTCAAACCCATGTCGTGCCAATGGTGTGTTGGGCCTTCTGTTAGTTCTTCATAAGGGAAAATGATTTATGAGCCCAACAAAGTTTCAAAACCGTTCAAAAAACCTTAATCATGTTTTGTCTGTTCAAAAAAACCCAATGAACTTAACTTTTTGTCTAAAAAGTCTAAATAAGTTACACTTTCCTGAAAGTCAAATAAGAGAAATAGATTATGTGGCTTATTACCGTATCGGGAAAATGACTTGTTAAACCAACAAAATTTTCAAAACGTTTAAAAAACTGCAATCATGTTTTGACTGTTCAAAAAAAAACTCCAATGAACTTAAACATAACCAAATTGAGATTTTTTGAACGGTTTGGAATTTTGTTGGACTTTTTTAGACAAAAAGTTAAGTTCGTTGAGTTTTTTGAATAGACAAAACATTATTGAGATTTTTTGAATGGTTTGGAAACTTTGTTGGGCTTTAAAATCATTTTCCTTCTTCATAATTTCACATATTGTTATATAGCATAATCGTGTTATTGGTATAGTTACATTAACGACCACGCATAATGAAAGTGAAACTTAAGTAAAAAACATTACACGTGTTTTATTTTATTGAATTCTATAGAGCTTTAAAGATCGTTCTTCTCGAGCTTTAAAGATCGTTCTTGTCGACAACAGCATCCTCCATTTTCTTGGTCATTCGATCGAGTATATGTTGATACTTCTCAACAACATATTCACATGTTATGCCCTCAATCGGATCAGTAGTAAAAGACCACTCGACCACACACCCCTCATCACCACTAGGAACGACTTTGTATGTGCCAAGATAATTAGATTTGTCAAAACCAAAATTGCATCCAATAATCTCATAGTTTAGGGACATCTCGTTTGCATCAACAGCTACCAACCGAACCTTTACCCAGTTAGCTTCACGAACGCCATCATCTTCTTCAAAAAAGAAACCATCACTGTAGCGTATGCAGCCAACCTCACCGTTGACGCCATGGATCCCATAACAAGTAGACATGTTGGGAAACCATTTGTGTAAATTGAAGAAGTCGATGAACAAAGGCCATATTTTATCAGCACATGCTTTTGTTATCGTGGACGATGCCTTACCTTCCCATTTCACCAGTGACGACTTTTCTATTTTTGTTTTTATATTTTTTCATGCGGGTGACTGGTGAAGCCAATCTACATTCTTTCCATATATATACAAAAGAATTGTAATGCGTGCATGTTAGGTTTTGTGCTAAAAGATAATAACGACATTAATTGTAGTAAATGAATGTTACGGGGTCCTGTTATACAACCCCCCCCCCCCCCCCCCCCCCCCTAAACCTATATTTCACATAAGGTCCTATTAGATGGGCTTTTTTTTTTCATTCCTCACTGGCCTCTTTTTTATTTTTTATTTTTTTATTACCTACAAACTCTCTATTTTATATTTATGGTCCCTTTATTTTTGGAGTTTTTCAATTTATTTATAATTATTAACAATGTTTTTATTATTCTTTCACATTTATGGTCCCTTTACAAATATACTTCCTCCATATAACTTTTATACATTTCGAAAAATAGTTATATCATTTTTTTTATAATTTTCAACTTAAAAGAATAACATATCACTTAATTTATAACTTTTATAAAATTTAAAAAATAATTCATCACTTTTTTTATAACTTGCAATTTAAAATAATAAAACATTACTTCGTTTCTAATTTTTACAAAATAAAAAAAATAATTCTATCATTTTTTACACATGAAGAAACAGAACTCAATTACACGTACGCCACAATGAATTCATTACAAATGTCTATGTGCAACAAAATGAGTTACCCTACATATCGAACGGCTAAATATTTATAACGTTTTAGTTTTAACGACTAAATATGAATCGTTCTAGTTTTAATGACTATATATATATATATATATATATATATATATATATATATATATATATATATATATATATATATATATATATATATTATTGTTTAGTTTTAATGTTTGAGAATTTAATTGCAACGTTGATTAAGTATTTACGATTGTTTTTTATTTATAATAATATTTGTTTAAAAAATATATTTATATAATTATATATTTTAATATATATATATATATATATATATATATATATATATATTTACTATCTTATAAAACAAATCCCACTATTTCTAAAAATAGATTGAATAAAATAATAATATTTTTTTAAGACGTCCAAATCATTAAGTTAAATGTACAACTAATCACTAATAAAATAATATTAAAATTTAAACAAACTCCTATAAATCTTCTCTTCCAAGGTTTTGACCAGGTCTTTTTTCATCCAAATAAATACTCAACACTCTATAATTTGGTCATTTCATGAATTTTTTTATTTTTAATATGACATGTTTTCTAAAACAAACTAATGATTGAATTAAAAAGAATCATTCTCCGTCGAAAACAAATTAATTGTCGAAACAAACTATTTGTCACCCGCCGTTTTGCGCGGGTAATCGACTAGTATATATGTATATAGGTTCAGGTTCATTTGAGACCATTCTAATTTTGTGAAACCGTAAAACCAAATCTAAAAATTCTTTTTTTAAATATTATTTTCGGAACTTGAATTAACTAAAAAAAATAAAAAATATATAAAAAAAATAAAAAATATTCCGTTTTTTTTTTTGAAAAATACGTGAAATATTCTAAATAGAATATTATACTGATATATTCTAAAAAATAATTTTAAAATGCAAAATAAATGGAAAAATATAAAAATTCTTTTTTTAAATATTATTTTCGAAACTTGAATTAACTAAAAAAAATTAAAAAAAAATTCTATTTTTTTTTTGAAAATTACGTGAAATATTCTAAATAAAATATTACACTGTACATATTCTAAAAATAATTTTAAAATGCAAAATAAAAGGAAAAATCAAAAATTCTTTTTTTAAATATTATTTTCGGAACATGAATTAACTAAAAAAAAATAAAAAAAATAAAAAAAAATAAAAAAAATAAAAAAAATAAAAAAAAATACGTCTCACGGTCTCACAAAATATAGGTGGTCTAAAATGAACCACACCTATATATATATATATATATATATATATATATATATATATATATATATATATATATATATATATATATATATATATATATATATATATATATATATATATATATATATATATATATATATGGGAAGGGATAAAAAAAAAAGGAAAGGGGGTGGCTGAATACCTAAACTCAATGTTATGTATTACGGAAGATTTTTAAAATATTTAAACTTCTGTGTAACAAGAGAATTAGTTTATTTGAATTCAAATAAAACAAAATTAAATTTATTTTTTGCGATAATAATAAATCTGAATGATGGCACGCATGTAAAGTTCAGGATACATTGTTTTTCATAATTTTTTTTGCCTAAAATATTCGTCTCTCTCTCTCTCTCTCTCTCTCTCTCTATATATATATATATATATATATATATATATATATATATATATATATATATATATATATATATATATATATATATATCCTAATTCTAATAAATAAGTAGAACTCGGCCACGTGGCATTCTCCCAGCCCCCAAAATAGAGTTTTCCCGCTTATTTTTTTCTTCTATATTTACGTAAATGCCATTGAATCCGAAAATTGAATAAAAGTTCAAACTGATGCAATATATCAGGAAATTTTAGCTGTCAACTGCATTCAAAATATTCATGCATTAATTTTAAATGAATAAAGATTATGGAAATAATTTGAAAAAATATGTTAATGAATAATCAGATTTGAAAATCACGATTAAATTTGAAAGTTTGTTTATTTTGATTGCAAATTCAATATATTGCAATCATTAAATCCCTAAAAATCTGCAGTATTTTTCAGCAAACGTAAATATCATTTATACGGTTATTTTGTTTTTACCATTCTGCTCCATAACAATTCTGCTCCATAGAAACCACAGCAAACGTATTCTTCTTCATTCTTTGTTATTCTGCAACACTTCAAGAATTAAATATCAGGTTAGTGTATTCAAAAATCAGAATTACCAATATTTCTATTTCCTCCATGTTCTTATTTATCTGTATGTATCACGTTCTCATTGTATGATTTCTATTCTTCTTCTTTTTTGTAATTCTTCTTAATCGTCTACTTCTTCTACCTTTTCAGTTTAACAGACGAAAAACTAATGAACATTACAAGTTCATTTTCTTTAAAAAAAATTAAAAATAGTCTTTTTCAGATGTGCACAATAACTTTTTTTTATGGTATGAAATTTTAAAATTTGTTTGTTTTTATCTAAATACAATCTCAAAAAAATTTAGAATTTTAAAATTTATGAGTACATTAAGTCAGTTGTTATTGTCATGTGTTGATTTTTAATTTTTCTGTTTTACTCATTGTTATGTTATCTGTTAGTCTTAGTATGTTGCAGGGGCATTTTCGGTATAATTGTCGTTTTCATGTTTATTATATATTTGTGTTCCATCTTATTATATAAACTTTTATTCAATCTAAAACATTATTTCATATGAATTATTTGTTTTCGTTTGTATTCCATTTTATTATAAAATGAATTATTCAATTTAAAAATTTATGAGTACATTAAGTCAGTTGTTATTGTCATGTGTTGATTTATAATTTTTCTGTTTTACTTATTGGTTAGGATGTTCTGTACATTTTAAAAGGTTACTAATTTTCCTTACAATTCTATAATGATTAAATTTATTGCAGAAAATGGAAATAGGAAATAAGGTTTACCTAAATAACATTGACCAGATAGATGAAAAATCGCATATCAAGGTTCGGGTGCTTAAAATTTGGAACTTTGTCAGAAATAATAAAGTTTGTTCTATTGAAATGATCATCATGGATGAGGAGGTTTGTTGTATTTGATATATTTTTTATTCATCATTCAATATTAGACATGTTTCATGAACATAATAATTTTTATTTTTTTTTAAACAGGGTACACAATACCAAGCTCGTATCTTCAATCAGAATTTCTCTAGATTTCGTCATCTTTTAAAGGAAGATGAAAGTTATATAGTTATAAAACCCAATATGGCTGCTGTTACTAATGGTTTTAGTTATACAGGTCATAAACAGACCTTAACTTTGGATTGAAAAAGCATCCTAAAAAAATGTGATGATTTCTCGGATCCGGTCAATGGATTTATGTTTGTTGACTTTAATTCTATCATAGAACAAACATGCCCAAAAGACACATTCTTTGGTTAGTCATAAAATATTAATAAAATCATTTTTTATCATTTGTTTTTTTGGTTATACATTTTATTATTTAAATATTACGAATTTAATCCTAAACTTTTATTTTTTTTGTGGTATCTGTTGTGTAGATGTTATTAGACATATCGTGTCATTTAGGCCTCTTGAAACTTCAAATCCAGTACCATCCAAGCATTATATAAAAGTCACTCTTAGCAACCTAGAGTGAGATTATATTGTATTATTTATTTATTATTTATTATCTTTAATTAATCACAAATTAATATTAATATACTATTTTATGGTTTATTTAGTTCTGTACATCTGAAGGTTACTATTTTTGGAAGTCAAGCATATCAAATTTCAGAATACCTAAAAAATAACCCGACTGTTAATTTTGTTGTTATCGTGATGCAGTTTTTGAAGCTAAACATTTGGAATGGTTTGTATTCAGTCTTTATATATAGATGTTTATAATTACTGTTTTTATATAAATTTTAATAATTGGATATACATTTTTTACAGGTCTTGGTGAAGCTAAAAGTCATTTTGAAGTAACGAAATTGTTCATAAATTCTGACATTTATGAAATAAATGAGTTTAAAAATAAGTTAGTTTCCAATTGTTTTTTATTTTTTTATAATGTATTTTAACTTAAAAAAACACAAAACCTAATATTCATGAATCTAAATTAAACATTACAGGTTGAAATGTCATGACAATTTCGGTATAACTGAAAAAAGCATAACTACACTTCAAAGCTACTCTTCTTCATATACAGATGACTTTAAGGGCAATTTTCCATTAAAAACAATCTGTGAGATCACCGAACCAATTAAGGTATATTGCATTATTTTATATGTTTTACATTTTATTTTTGCATAATTTATTTTAATAATTTTTACATTTGATATGATACAGGAAATGAAGTTTTTATTAGTTGCTTCCATTGTTAATATAAGGCAGAATCTACCATGGTATTATGAAGCATGCAAAAAATGTGGAAAAAAAATTATCCCTGTTCCCAAAACCAATCATTCGTATACCAACCCTGAGGGAATTTCAGAAACTATGGTTGTCGAGTGTACAAATGCACAATGCAAAAAATCTGAATTTCAGTCAGTTATAAAGTATAGACATATTTATTTCTATTAATTTTGTCAATCTTAAAACAACACTAACAATGACATAATTATTTTTTGTTTTAGGTATATAATTCCAATTAACGTACAAGATTGTACTGGAACCATTGGATTGACTCTTTTTGATAGGGAAGCAAGGAGGTTGTTAAATATAAGTGCCTACGAGTTGAAAAAGATACATGATGCGGTATATTATTCATACCTTTAAAATCAGAAAACATTTACTTAATTTTTTTAATTTATTAAAATATATCTTACAGGCCGGAGACAGTGATGCCCTATTTCCAATGCAACTTAACGTGTTGAAAAACCGCAAGTTTGGTTTTGTTGTAGATATTACAGAATACAATGTCAACAACTATAATAACATCTACACAGTTCTCAGAGTTACAGAAGATATGTCCATTGTTTGTGAATTGGAAAGTAAAATAGAACTTATGGTATGTAATTTTTTATTGTTGAAAATTTACAATTCTTTAATGTTAAAGTACATAACGATTAACATATTTCCATTTTATTTTTTAGAGTATTCAATCTGTCTCCTTAAATCAAGTTGCTTTGGAATCCGATGATGTTGTACAGCCTGTTCAAAAGGTTTTTCATTTTATTTTATAAACTTTTAATTATATTAGTTATTTTTTTTAGGAATCAAACATTTTTTTTTAAATTAGGATGTGATCTCACAAACAGACGAAAGTTTTACACCCTCAACAGTTGATAAGTCAACCGCAACAAGTCCTTGCAAAATATCAGGTGATTTGAAGCGCAACCTCCAAGAAATTTATGATGTTGATTCTGGATATGATTTAAGTTCAACTAAGGCTAAAAGAAAGTCAACCGCAGAGGAAACTCCACTCTTGATTCCAAAAATTGAAAAGTGAGTTTCTATCGGTTATAAGACACATTTAATATATTTTGATCATTTGTTTTGGTTATAAAGATATTTTAATTGCTTGGTATGATTTTTATTTTGGGGTATTTAGGATGTCAAATATTATTGGTTTTGAATATTTTTGGATACTTTTATTGTTTTAAATTGGACAAGTTAGTTGATTTTGGTTATAACTCAAATAAAATATATTGCCCCTAACTTGATAAGTATTTCATATATCGCAATTAACAATTAAGACAAATCAATCAATCAATCAATTTGTATAATAAAAATGCGAAATTCTTAGCTTTCTTCCCCAATTCGCATTCTACTGTAAAATTCGCATTCTTCATTCACCCTCTTTCTTCGCATGTTCCAGTCATTTTTTTTTAGTTCATTCGCATTTGAGTTGTTTGTCTCACCAAATGCGAAATTAATATTAACCATAATCACCTTCGCATCTTTAACCCCAATCCATACAACCTCATATGCGAAACCCAATTTTGATTTGTATTACCAAATGCGAACATTTTTGCTTTTACACGTGAACTGCATTTGACTCCAATATTGAACAAATCACATTTCACAGTCCTTCTTGACTTCGCATTTTTCTTCACGAATCGTCCCTCAATCAATAACCCAATTAACCCAATTGCGAATCCAAAATCAAAACTTATCTGTTTTCATATGCGAACCCAACTGATTGGCTTTTCAAAATCAAATTCGCAACTCCAAATCGTTCGATTATTCGCCCAATTCCAAAATCAAATAACAGATCCTTCGTATGATTCATTTAATAACCAAGGCTTCGTTCCAGAAAACATCGAATTTAACAGTTATTCGTTCCCACAATCTTTAACCTCCGTTTAAAATCGATCCCTGTATACAAACCCAATAACCAATCGAACACATACCATTCGAAAACAATAATCATTACACCCTTCAACAGATTTGACATCGCATTTCAAAACAATCGATCTTACTTCATCTGCTTGATATATCGCAATTAACAATTAAGACAAATCAATCAATCAATCAATTTGTATAATAAAAATATTGCTATATATGTAAAGACCATATTGCCCCTAACTTGATAAGTATTTGATATATCGCAGTTAACAATTAAGACAGATAAATAAATCAATCAATTTGTATAATAAAAATTCGAAATTCTTAGCTTTCTTCCCCAATTCGCATTCTACTGTAAAATTCACATTCTTCATTCACCCTCTTTCTTCGCATGTTCCAGTCATTTTTTTTTAGTTCATTCGCATTTGAGTTGTTTGTCTCACCAAATACGAAATGAATATTAACCATAATCACCTTCGCATCTTTAACCCCAATCCATACAACCTCATATGCGAAACCCAATTTTGATTTGTATTACCAAATGCGAACATTTTTGCTTTTACACGTGAACTGCATTTGACTCCAATATTGAACAAATCACATTTCACAGTCCTTCTTGACTTCGCATTTTTCTTCACGAATCTGTTCAAAAGGTTTTTCATTTTATTTTATAAACTTTTAATTATATTTGCTTGTAAAATTTTTTTAAATTTTTTCTTAATATTTTAAATTTTTGGCCGATATTGCATATGTGGTTATTATTGTTCAAATGTTAAAGCTATCTTGAGCTTGATACTTTGATACTTTTACAGGTGAAATTATATTGTGATTGAGGGTGCTTAATTTGTACTTTATCTAATTTGTATTAAAAAAAAATGAAAACTTTGTTGGTATTCTTCTTAAAGTAAAAAATAACTACTCAATAGTCAATACTACAACATTTTACTTTCATTGGTTTCCCTTTAACCAGTAAAAATCATTATTATGTAATTTTTTAGAATGGAACATTCCCTTTAACGGCTGTTTACTTAATAATTTTTTTCATCATATTGATGAATCCTACTTTTTTCATTTGTTACCATTTAAATCTTATGGTTATACCATTGTACTTTAAAATGTTTTTTGGTTTAATATTAATGGAACATTCCTTTAATGACAATGTACTTTCATTGGTTTCTATGTAACCTCTAAATATCATAAACTAGAGGGGGAGCCCCCGCGATGCGGAGGTCGGATGAAACCTTTTTGGTTTGTTGTTTTCTCTATGTTGAGGAGATAAAACAGATGCAAATGTGAATACATACATAATTGGTTTTTCTTATCTATATTTATGTTGAAGAGAGTTGCTAATGTGACAAAATTATCACTTTATGTTGAAAAGCAAAAGGTACGGTTTAGTACCTGACACAGAATAGACAATTTCCAGGAGAATAAAACTTCATAAACGTGCTTGACATGTGGTTTATTCTGTGTTTGCATTACGTTTTATATATGGAATGACAAAATAGACCTAAACGATAGATTATATTTTTTAAAGGTGAATACAAGGCTTAACCATGCATCTGTTCATAAGCATAGTATCAAAAGAGAAAACGATTTAAAGAGACCATGGATAATAAGATGACAAAAGAGTTGGAGATTTTTTTGTTTTGTATCACTCCATATATGGCTGATCATCTTCTGGAAGTGTTTTGAGTAGTTTCCTGAGCTCCTGGATGGTCGTTTCAGTTTCCTTCTTTAGACTGTAAATCGCCATGATTCTTTTTGATGCCACGTACGTACTTTTGTTGATGACTTCCTTCATATCTAGGTAGTTGGTGTACTTTGGTCGACAACTCATGTTCTCCAGCACTTCGTTCTTCATCTCTTGGTTGAAGTAGTAATCGTTTTCGAGTTTTGTCAAAGCGTCCAGCTCTTCCTCCGCCTGGCCAATCAGCATATGAATGATGCTTTCCATTTCAGCCGGTTTCATTTTGTGGGAGTGGTTTTGGCTTTTGGTTTTCCGATGGGTAGTTTGATTGGATGTGGGTTGTAGATGTTATGTGTTTGTGATTTATAAGAAGGTCGAAGCTGTAAACAGGTGTAGAGGGGTATTAAATGCGATGCGAAAGGGCGAAGGGTTCTTGGTGTGTGTAATCGGCTGCAATCGATTGGTATGTCCAATCGTTGTAGGTGATGTAAGCCTATTTAGGATTGACGTGAGTTTTTAGATGTAGGAATGCTGATGTTTATCCGGTACATAATCTAAATTTTTTGTTAATTAAGAAATTTGAAAATAAGATAATGCACAATTTGATTATTGGAAAAATGGTCTAACTAATTTTTATATTATATTTATACAAAGCTGTTGTAATCGATGTCTTCTTTATAAACAGGAACCCATAAAATGACACCCTGTTCTTTTTTAACCTCTTCATGTTTTGCTATATTTAAAAGTGGAAGATGTAAGTTAAGTTTTAAAATGTAGTTACCATTTATGTAATCTAGATACAAGATTTAAAAAATTACATTTAATAGAAAGCAACTTCTATGTGTTGTGTTCTTATTGTTTATTATTAGGATATTTATGTTGATTATTTTATGGTATTTAGGATATTTATGTTGATTATTTAAACATGGAACATTTATGTCTATTATTTAGAATAACTATTATTTTTGTCACGATAAATATGTTATTTTTAATAAATAATCAATAACCAATTGTAAACAAAATTTATATCTTTGATTCTCTAAAATTAATTCATACATTTTTGTAATGGTTGCAGCATATTTACTTATCTTCTGTAAATAACCTATATTCAACCAACTATTTCCTAATATTCTATACTCCCTTTTTAGATGAAATTTGAATATTAAACTAATTTTTAGTTGTAATCTTTTAAATTCCAAAAAATCAGGAAGAAAATTATATCTAATAAAGATCCAACAACAATAAAATCATATAATCGTAATCTTTTCAATATTCAAGCATATAACTTTACCTCAAAACGTGAAATCCAAAATTTTGAAACACCTCATTCGTCTTCTTAATGTTCAATTGTTTCTGCGATTTTTTTTCATTAAGCTTACATCAAACTGCTTCATTAAAGTTGTAATCCTCATTCCAGTTCTACCTGCAAGATTTCCATATCCATATGTCAGGTTAGTATTATCAGTTTAGATCACTTTGTTTTCTCTATGAATTTATGGTTGAAATTTACAACAATAATCAATATGCTGGAATAGATGTTTTTCTAATTGTAAAAAAATAATCTTGAATAGATACATAAGATCAATAAGCAATTTATAATCATCACGATTATCGTGTATCACACAATTTTACCTTCATTGATTCCATGGAGATCTAGGGTTTTAACCCCTGATATCATCCGAACCCACGATTGGTTGAAATTGGGGAAACAGTAGATTTAAATCGAATAAACCCTAGGTTGGAAATGAGGATGATGAGTCATGATGCTCATCAGGGAAATAATTGATTGTGGAACAGCAAGAAGGAGAGTCTACCTTCGAATCGTATTTTTCAATCTGACGGAGACCAATTCGACGATTACACGGTATCGTAGATCTCCATGATTTTTTAGGTTGCCTTTCATGCGTTGTAGATTGCGATCGATTTAGGGGGAATCGAGGACAGTCATTGACTGCTGATCTTCGACGACCGTCTATGGAAGATTGGAGTCGTTGTATACAAACATTCAGACTTCTTTTGATGGAGTTATTTCTGCAACTACAACACAATCTTCCGCTTCAAATCTTATTTTCGGACACATATCTACAATCCGACTCATGTTAACTTTAATATCTTTATTTAAAGTCTCTTTTACACAATATAAACAAATATATTTTCTATTTTATACTGTTTCATATTTTTAAAATCTTCAATTTACTAATTTTTTTAAAATATATTATAAAAGAGTAAATTAATATTTGCAAATTTTGTTAAACATTTTAATAAACAAATTAATAAAGGTAACTTTTTAAATACATTTAATTTATTATCATTATTTATTTAATTCTAACTAACTTCAATTGTATTATATAAACATATTATGTACATAATTTCACATTTCATTTCCTAACCTATGTCTTCTTATGCAGAAAACAACAGTAACATGTACCACATGCAGGCCAAAGAGAAAAGAAGACAAAGAAAAATATATT